GGCGCGCGGGAGATTTAGTTGATAAAAATTTCAGGAGCATTGGTTCCCGACGAACTCTCGCTTCTTCTCAGACAAAATCATCTAAGGGTTAAATACTGTATTTTCGAGTATCCTTCGGGCATTCGGTTTCCTAACACAGCGAGACGCAGAGACGATAGGCGCTAGATCGATTAATGCGAAGGTGTCGCGCAAGGATCATTGTTTTAATTGCAGTATCAGATTCATCGATTTATCGGGAAACGCAGTGGGAGTTGAAAAAACAACCGCCAGTCCCGAGCAACACCCATTTCGCGGATACACCCGAGTCGATATCTGCCGTGCGATCTCGTGATCGATGCAAGATGCATATTCGCCAAGGCCGCGTGGAGTTTCGCCTTTTTCCCGCCCCCTCCTCGCCCCTCGGCTCTCGTTTGCCGACCGTGTATGTACGTCGAGTCTACGTGCCGGTATCGCCGCGGCGTTTCGCAATTGGGAATCGTCGTGGCCGCTCGCCGTCGAAGGAAAACGACAGTGGCCGAGTCTGAGGACTCCCAACGTGCTCGGGTTGCACGTTGCTCAAGTGCAACCGAGGGTGTGGGGGAGGGGGGGGGCGTAACCCTCCCGTGAAATCTCTCGGTGTCTGTAGCGCGCGGCATGCAGAAGCGCGTGAGGCTCACACCTTGGCAGAAAAGCAGAACCAATCAGAGCTGTCGCTGGTAGTCAGCAGTTTCTACTCACTGCCAGCCAGAGTGTGCTGTTCACTACCAGCGCGAGTGCTGATTGGCCTCCGCTTTTCTGCCAAGGTCTGAAGCTGAGGCTTATCCTACAATATTCGCAGAACGCGAGAGATCGACCAATCACGGTCAAATATGAGAAGAACGGTCGACTGTCGTTGGCCGATTTCTTGCGTTGCGGCTTTAGCGTCTTGGGTTTTGCGTCCATTACAGAATAAGCTTAAGGTTCTACAATAGACGCAGTAAGTCGCAAGCCGCAAGAAATCGGCCAATGTCGATTATTCCTCTCATATTTGGCTGCGATTGGTCGATTTCTCGCGACTTGCTGCGTCTATTAATTGTAGAACCAGCCTGACGAGAGCGCTCGATCGGACGATGATAATCGACTTCCGTTAACGACGCTCGTGGTGCGACTCGCCATTTATCACTTTTGTTTAGAAAAGACTTCGGAAAGGGTCTCTCTTTCTCTCCGTTAAGGAAAGACGCGACGGAACGCTTTCGCTTCCGGCCTGCAAATACAGGCGGACGGCGCTCCGACGGTCGAGGTGCGTTTCGACCACGCGTTAATTAGCCCGGCGTTCATCGGCAGCCGTTAAGCTTCAGCCTCGTCGCAAGACTCGTCGCCGGCGAACAAACGAGCGAGAGACCGCTCCGGAGATGCGACAGGGCGACGGTGGGCGAAGAGACGAGAGACGAAAGACGCACGGCCGCTCCAACCTTTTTCCCCGGGCCGGTGACCGCGGGCCGAGTGGTACGAGGGAGACGCGGCGCGGATTCGGCCATTCGTCAAGGACCCAACGAGAGATAACGGCCTGGGGCTCTTGGCACCCGAGGAATGGCCCGAGGGTGCAATAACCCGCGGGTGCGCGACGCACGCACGGGACGTGTTCTGGCACCGGCATCGCTCGCCCTCGTCCCCCGCCGCGGCTCAAGTGTGTCCGAACGGTGCCATTCCGCGTCGTCTTCGTCGCGACGACGTTGGACACCCGCGGCACCGCAACGCGGCTCCCGTCTTGCGCCCCCCCCGGCCCCACTTCTGGGGTCGCGAGCGTTTCCTTACGCGCGGAAAGTAGAGCGGCGACTTTTTCTTTCGGCAAAATCGGTAAAATAAAATCGACGGCGGCCGGTTATTGCCACACGGAGGGAATTTTCTCTCCAAATTTACCTTGAAAATCGTGGAACAGCAACCCCTGCGAAGCTGGGCCCACCCTATTTCAAAATTTATTTCCTGCTAAACGGTTGGAGCAACAAATTAGCACATAAATAGCACTACATTTTTTTTACTTCAATTGGCAATGGTGGGGGCTCCAGCTTTATAGGGGTGGAACAGCATGGTGTTTTGAAGGATCTTACGAGAGTTTCTTGAGATTCCAACATACATTTTACTGGTAAAAGAAAAAGCGTGTGGTCTCATGATTCTCGGGATAAATTTGAAGAGAAGATTCTCTCCGTGCACGAATACTGCCTCGAGACGGAGGTGACTCTCGAGGTTAATCGGATAAAACCCGTGTCACACTACATATTACGGATCGCGGATCGCGGATCGCGTTTCGGTCAATCAAACGAGATAGTCTCGGATCCGATTGGTTGAATTGCGATCCGCGATCCGCAGTCTCGATCCGATCCGCGATATACGTAGTGCAACACGGGCTTAAGGCGTTTCCTCGAGATGGAAGAACTTTAACGTGCGCTCTTTTAATAATCGAGCATTTTTCGCTTGACAATTATGCGCCACCGAGCGTCCCCTAATTAAAGCTAATCTGATGTTGAAAATTTAAATTCCCTCGGCCTCTTTGATTTCCCGGCGCCTCGCAGCGACTCGCAAACCCGCAGTACGCGCCCGCATTAAGGCCATTATTATTTATTACACACGGGCTCGCGAGGATCGATCTTAATGGCGCTCGGCCCGATTAGAATCAAGTAAATCGGAGTAGCAAGGTCTCGTTCCTTCGATCGAGGTCCAACGAGCGACGCGACCGACGGTCGCCGATGGAAACGGCCGGCGATATCCGGCGACGCCGCCGGGAGTTGTGCGGTCTAATCTTCTAGGTCGGCATTTTCTTATCGGGAGGGGGGGGGCGCTTTTTCCTCTCTTTTTTCCCCCCTTACGTACCGCGAGCTCGGGCACGATCACGATCGCGTTATCGCGGCACCGTCAATGCCGGCCGAGGCCGTGGATTTGTATCGCGTTATTGTCCTATCGCGTGCGCGCGCGCGTCACACGGCCGCGCTATATAATCGCGGTATCGGACCGATACCGGAAGCTATCGTTATCGCTCGTAATCCCGCGCCCGGCGGACCCCGAGACGTGCCCGAAAGACGACGCGCCGGGTTGGTGCCGGGCGAGTCGATAGTGAGAATATTTTTAACCGCGTCGGTTTCGCGGAACTTTCTTTTTCTCGGGATAAAAAAAAACCCCGAAAGAAAACGTGGCGTAGGTCTGAAATAAACGAAAAAAAAAAGATATGGGAGGAATAAGTTATTTGCGGCTGGCCTATTTACGTCGAATTGAACGCGATGCATATATACGATAGATAATTATTTTTGTCTTAATTATATATCTCGCAGCGTTAAATAATTACGTAATGCCGGGCGTACGCGGGCCGGAGTGAGAAAGTTCCGGTTCGATCCGACGCGACGGATAGAGATAAAAATCGTGTTGATTTTACAGCGTCTCGCCCCGCGCATTCTCCGCGTACCGTAATGGTTAACCAATTTTGCCGGCTGGCCCTCGCCCCTCCGTAGGAGAAAAAAAAATAGAAACGATAGCGCCCGGGGCCCCGTGCTTCCGCTCGCCGCTCCAGCCTGGGCTTTTTATCGCGCGCGTTCACACGCGCGCGTGTTTATTTCGGTCGATTTCCGCTCCGCGGTAGCGGTTGCATCAGCGGCCTCGCGATAGCGCGTGGCCGTGCGTGCGAACCGGGTCGCGGTGGACTTTGATTGTCAGAAATATGCGACGCGATGTCCGCGGAGAAAACGTTCCTCTTCCTCTCCTCTCTCTCTCTCGCTCTCGCCTTTCTTCTTTCAGTCATCATCGCCCCGGCATTTCCTGCGAGCCGTACCGTTTCAGAGTCAACGCGACTCGCACGCGTACGGAGCGGACAAAAGCCGGGGTCCCGCGAGAGGACGCGAACCTCCCATACCCGCGTAACAAAAGTCGCGTGTTCCCCCCAACGGCCCCCGCGCCTTCCCGAGAGACTTCGAAATGAAACGGATGAGTCGCGGCGACATCCGTCGTCGATTTATCCGTGCACATTTCCTTGGTACAACTTAGTGGGGCCACTGTCTATCGGCCCCTTGGATCTTTGCGGTCCTGACGACCATGGTATTCCGCCATTGCTCTGGTCAGCAATCCAGCGGTACTCGTCAAGCTACACTGCCAACGCATACAGCTTTTCTCTCATTAGCTTGACCAAACCAACGTCGGATGCGCGGAAAGAATCGACGCAACACAAAACACATGACGGAGTGCACCTACTAGTCATACTATGCTACCAGATTAGCTTTAAGCCCGGTTTAAGTTACCTTTTTCTAATTTTTAAAACTAGAAAGCGATTGAAGGTAAGTTAAGCCGGGGCCAAAGTTAATCTGCGTTGGTGGAAATGGACGTTGGAAAGCCGCGGAAAGTCGGTATATAGACCGGGGATGTTTATGCCGAGGCGACGCGATCGCGACCCAATTCCGTCGACTGTTGCGTACAAGTATTTTTCATCGACTGCACGACGCCCTTCCCGCCACGGCTTTGCGCGGCCCCGTCGTATATCGCTCTCTTCCGTCGCGCCGCTTTCCGAAGTGCCAAACTGCGACAGCTCTCGTTTAACACCCGCTCGAGCGGGATATCTCTAACCGGCGTATCTTCCTATTGGCGTCACGCGAGAGGCCTCTCTTCCGAGAACAGCTCGCAGATGCGGCCAGAAACTCTCTCGCGAAGGAACCGCGACGATTTTACGAAACGTATCCCCGGGTTTCGTTACATTGCAGCCCGATATAGCGAAAGTTTCTCTCAGATATACACTGATAGAAAAATATGCAGTATTTGAAACTATAATTGTATACTAAGAACTTATCATACGTCTTCTTCCTGCATCGTTGAATATGGTTAAGGATCCAATTCCAAAATATAATTTCAAACATAGAAATCTCTTAAAGTTGCCGGTAATAGATGGCAATAATCAAGCTTTTTTAGTCGACATTAACCGGCTAGTGTTTTTAATACTGAAAATTTATCGCGAGAAATATTACCTGGCTGAGATAATATCCACTAGCCGGATAATGTCGACTAAAAAGTTTGATTACTAAAATATAATTGTTAACGATTCTCGGAGAAACTACCTCAGTTTGCCAAAGCTCCGGCCTCCTAAACATGAGCATACACGGAAAAAAATTCTGATTGCGTTAATTAGAAATCTGGTAGATTCAGCCAGTCAGAATTCCCTTAGGATTCACTAGACGCGTAGTGAAGTTTATCAAACGTTCCGGTTATGAAATACCTATCGTGACAACTAGAAATTCCGTTTGGTTTAACCAAAGTACATTCTATCACACACGTGATTGTAACAGAATTTCTAGTTGTCACGATAGGTATTTCATAACCGGAACGTTTGGTAGACTCCACTACGCGTCTAGTGAATCCTAAGGGAATTCTGACTGGCTGAATCTACCAGATTTCTAATTAACGCAATCAGAATGTTTTTCCGTGTATGCTCATCTCGTTTAGGAGACTGGAGCTTTGCGATGACACGTGATTGTTGATACAATCGGAGCATTTTTCCCAGTGCATATCTTTAGATGCCTTTAAACGCCGTCCGGTCGCTTTTACTCCGACGACGGCGATCGCGCAGCGACGAGGATGCTAACCGTCCACGATATTCTTGTTTCAGGCAGCTGCGCGAAGGTACACTCGCGGAAAACGGCCTACAGAACGACAGTCGGCTGACGCTGCTGCCGAGCGTGGAAACCGGATTGCTGGTGAGTTGAACTCTCTCGCACGTGGGTATTAATCGAGCCGACCCAACGGCGCGCTCCGGCGCGGTAATGAGTGGTTATCGGCGCGATTTTTATCACCGCCGCGCCGCGAAGACCACCGGCTCGCACCGGTCCGGATGGTCCGGCAAATTCTCCCCTTCCCCTCTTTGGCATTCAGGAGGAAGGTTTCGTGCGACCGCTCGGAATTGTACAATATCTGTTATATAAACATATGCCGGAGCGGAGATACGATAAAGACCCCGCCTTTGTTTCTCGAGCTCTGCCGCGAATTAGATTTAGCCGATAGACAGCCTGAAACGGGCTCGGGCTTCCAGAGGCCCCGGCTCGAAGCCTCCATCTGCCGTCTCGGCACCGACAAGCGGAGCCTCCAGCTGGTGTTCGCGCGACGCCGCGTCTGGTTTTTCCGCTCGCGTCCGCGATCGCAACCCGGATTCTCTGCGCGCACCCGGCGCGGCACACCGGCTCCCCCGTCCTGGAACGGTTCCCCGCTCGGAGGACGCCGGTGACTCGGGCAACGAGGAGAGCGTACGCGACGGAGGCGCGGACAAACGCCGTTAACTCTCCGGCGCGTTCGCGCGCGTGTATTCGCCGGGTCACTTGGTTTCTCGGTCATATCGTCCCCGACACCTTTATTCCCCGATAGCAGGCGGATCCGACCTGCCGTCGCGACCGACGGTGCGCCTTGTCCCTTGGCCCTACGCGTGCCAAGAGGCCGACCCGATCCTCGTCGACATACATTTAAACTTCTCGTTTTCGTCTCAGTCTTGGTCAGCGGTAGCTCCGCGCTGTCGTAGCCACAGACTTCTGTACACTACTAGACCGCTACCATGGGCATATACAATAGAATGGACTGTGCGTTATGCGCGACACGCCGGCGCACGACTCTGGAGAGAGAGGGAAACGCAGTAGGCTATGTCCGTCTCTCGCTAATGCAGGGTCGTCTTTTGACCGTCGACTACATTAGAGAGAGAGAGACAGACGTATCCTACTGTGTTTCTCTCTCGCTTCAGAGCGTGCACCCTCAGAAAGGATTTCTGTTACCGAGACAAAAAATATTCTCGACGCATTTATATTTGCCGCAACCTCATTTAGTATAAAAATAAGACGATATCAAAATAAAATCAATAATTCTTTTTTCGCAATAATCTTGGAATGAAATATTTAGACACTAACACTCTGTCGCGGCTCTTAGTCCTTTATTCCTTCAAATTTGTGTTTGTCACATTCGAGCCATACGAATTTTAATTAATTTGCCAATAACTCTGATTCTTCTCTGTTGAATTAAAAAAGATTGACCGACTATATTGAGACAAGAGTAACTTGTACAAATATAATTTACAATTTGTAAAGTGTGCCGAGCTCATGCGGAAACATCTTGGCGCTTCACACGTGTAATTGTACACCGTCACTTACGGTGTTATGTAATTAGATTCGCATCGATGCGATTAACATAAGTTGATTTAAATTAAACGGGAAGCGCGAGGCCCAAGCAAGATGTAGACGGCCGAGCAATTTTAATACGCGAATTCTCGCGCCGTTTAAATTAATTTCAATTAATACCGTAATTGTACACTGAAAAAACTTTCTGGTTGAATATGGACGAATCAGATAATTCCTTTAGGATTTACCAGAATTCCTTTAGGATTTACCAGAATTCCATGTAATCCTACAGAAATTCTGGTAAATCCTAAAGGAATTCTCTGATTCGTCCATATTCAACCAGAAATTTTTTTCAGTGTACGAACTCTTCTCGGGCACAAGTTTCAACCTTGGGACTCGCCGGTCGCGCGGGACATCTGGCCGCGGAACGATCTGTTACAGAAATCGGAGCGCGTAAACATACGACGCCCCGGCCACATGACTTGGGAGAGAGGGGGGGAGGGAGGGAAACGGGGAGCGACGTAATGTTTCGTAAGGTTCGGCCGAAGTAGCGTAATGTAACGTGACGTGACTCTTCGGCTCAGCCCCGGTCGCAAATGCGACACACACAGGTGCTGTTTCCGCGCGCGGAAACACCCAGCCTTTGGGAAACGAGGTGTAGCAACGTCACGGAAACGACTCTCCCCTCTCGTTGTGCGTTTCCGCTTAAGAACCGCGGAGGATATTGTACGGTCGGACAGAACGAAACGAAGCCCAGACCCAACGCACGAGGGCTACCTCGGGCCGTACGCGAGGAAGGTGTGACTTCACCTCCCGAGGAGCCTCGCGGGGCGACGCCGTCGACTGTCGATTATTCGGAGTTATCTGCTCGTTTCTGAGAATAATGCAACGTCATTGCGTGCGTACGCGAGATCGGTTCACGATAAGTCGGATAATCACGAGGAACATGAACAGAACGAAATGCACACGCGAGAGGTAAAGCGAGGCTGCTGTTGCTCCGCGATGCTTACCTAATAATAAAAAAAAAAAGAAACAAGATAATCAGAGCGCGAGGTGGGACCGGACGGAAAGGCAGGCGTCGCGGAATAGAACGCGGGACAGAACGATGCTGCGGAGATAATTCGCCTGTCGCTTCCGCGTCTGCAAATTTCCCCGACGGCCGTGGGCTCCCCCGGACTCCGGCCCTCGCGAAGCGATCTCTCAGCTGCGGGCGCTCCTAAGCCTTTCCGGGGGGTTAAAGGGTTGTAAGCGTCAGGGGTGGGGGAGCCGAACGGAGGCCTTTCTCTCTTTCCTCCCGGGTCTGAAATTGACTCCGAGCCGGGCTAGCAACAGCGCGCGCGCGCGCTCCCCGGGTTTCTTATCGCGCGACCGAGACTCGTTCGCATAGCTGTCAAGGGGTCCGCCCCGCTCGGCTCCGCTCGGCACGGCCTGGGCTCTCTCGGTCACCCGCAGTCAATTTTAAAGTCGGCCTCTGTGTGCCGGCCTCGGTCCCTACGTGCCAGCGGTGTTGCCTGTATGCGTTGCGTGCGCGTCTCCCTTTCTCTCTCTCTTTCTCTCTCTCTCTCTCTCTCCTGCGCGCCCTCGCCTTCAGCCCTCCCCGTCTCTAGCCGCGATCGGGCCTACAGGGCGTCGCGGAAAAAAAGACACGTCTCGGTGCGTTCCGTAATTATTTCCTGTACGCTACGCGCGACGGTTGTACTCGTGAATATTCGCCGGGAATTAGATCGCTCGATACCCCCGTTGACCCTTTCACGACCGAATCACTTTTGGTTTTATTGGGTGGTTTATTTATTTTTTCTCTCTTTTTTTCAAACGGGACACTAATACCCCGAGGAACCGAGAGAGGCGAGAGGTGTAAGTGGGACTTGTGTGTCCTGTCGGTGATCACGAGAGCTAAACGCTCTTTCGGCGGATGGAATTATTATTTTCGGCGTGCGTTTCTGGCTGGGGCGTGTATAGGCGTCCTTTTCTTTTTTCTTCTTTCAAAGATCGCACCCCTCTAGCTAAATCTAATACCGTCTGTTACAAGTATTCGCGAAAATGCATCCGCTGCCGGGGAAACGGGAATCCGTGCCTCTCCGGGATCAACGTCGGACTCGATCCCGACGCCGCTGGTCGAGGGGGAAGGGCTCGACGGCCCTCCGCGGGCGTCTGCGAGCAGCTCTCGTAGCCCCACTGCTGTTCGGTACACCCTGTAGATATCACTCGTGGGTGGTTCTACGGGGCAGGGGAGCGAGGCGAGACCTACGGGCCGGGTTCACACAGCTCGGCTGCGAGAGCGAGCGCCTCGCGATCGAAGAGCAGCGTTTCGTAGCGCGATTTATCTCCGCGCCTTCCTTTTTTCCTCGTCCGAGCGCTCGCCCGACGACCCGCCGAGAGAGAGCGAGAGAGAGAGAGAGCCCGGTCGGCTTTTCGGACTTCGTCCGGCGACCAGCTCTCGCTTGGCTCTCGCGAAATCACCGTTAGACGCTGGCAAAATGGCAGAATCCATCTTCTTGCCGGAGTCGGATTAATTTTCGTGCTGCCGGACCGGTCGCGACTCGGTGTAATTTCTTCTTCTTTTTTTTTCCCTTTCTTTTCACTCGTGGCATTTCCCAGCCGCCGTCGAGGTGTTGGCCTCGACCCTCTGAATTACGTTTGTCGAATCGTCCGCCCATATTCCGGTGAAAGTTCTCACGGCGGGCCCGCGATTAGAGACGCGATCTTTCGTGTTCTCCACCGCGCGTTATCGCATACCGTCAGTCTCGTTAATTCACGCGCTGCGTTTCGCCAGTGTTTTATTTTACAATGCGCGCGCGTTCGCTCCCGATGTTCCAGGACGCTTTTCCGTACGAATTTCCGACGGCGACCGCGAGAAAGAGAGAAAGAGAGAGAGAGAAAACGCGCCGGAAGTCACATGTACCTTCAACGCCCCTGTATTTCTTTTTTAAAGAAACACTCGGGGCATTAAACACGAACCCACTAATCGTTGAAACCGATATAGGTAATCACGAGAATGATAAAACTATAAGAACATTCTTTTCTGTGATAAGACAAGGACTTTGCTTAACTAGACTTTTCTCCAGCGCAGATTATCTGCCGTGAGTCAATCTTATTTTTATTGCCGATCTAGTGTTTCATATCTTTTGAAACATGTATAAATTCCTTTTCAAGTATCTGATTACAGCTGAAGTAGTTGAACTCGCTTTTTCTAGTCACTGAAATTTACGGTGCGTCTTCCCAGATTTTCTATGATCTTTGTTGCAACACGTAAATTGATCACTTTACCTCCCCCTTTAAGTCTAATCTACAATATGCTTTCCGCAACGAGAAGCATTCTATTTTATGCAGGCGAATCGATACGCTTGAAAAATGTGTCGGCGATGCACGATTGTGCAATGTACAATAGACACCCACAGAAAAAAATTTCCGGATCCAATGCTATTACACTTGAATGTATCGTAAAATAGGATCGATGTAGCGCCAATCATATTTGTTATAGAGAAAGGAGTATTTTAATTAAATGAGGTTGTGAGAAATAAAAATGCGTCAGGAATATTCTTTGTCTCGGTAACGGAAATCCTTTCTGAGGGTGTACAGTTTATCAACTCGCACAAATTTTT